CCCCCCCAATGAGATGGATTGGCACAGTGGCAGACCGATGGGCTCAAATGTATGAAGAATTGTGAGGTTGACGCAGGATCAGGCAGTGTTTGTTCTGTTGTGCTTAGGGTTGCTATGAGTCGGTACTGACTTGATGGCACCTAACAACAACAGTCAGCAAGAGACTAGCAGTTTTTCTTTAGAATGAACATTTTTATTTTTATAACTCTAAAACACCATTCTTATTGTTCTACTCCATGGGTTTCATTTTTCAAGATAGATTCTTAAATATATTAAAATTTTAATTTATGGTGCTAATCAGAATTTTAATCGACAAAGCTTTGAGAATACTCTGCATAGGAATGTTCTACTGAGGTAATGTGACATAATGGTTAAGACCCTGTTCTCTCTGGGTTCAAGTTCCAGCTCTGGCATTTGTTCTTATTAAGTACTATCAAATTGGTTCTGACTCATGGTGACCCCTGTATAGGCTTTCCAAGGAGCGGGAGGTTTGAAATGCTGAACTTGTAGTTAGCAGTCCAGTTCTTATCCTACAGACTCGGATACTTAGTAACTTTCTCTTCCTGGATTAATAACTGAAGCTTCTAGTCAGTCTATTGTTGTTATTGTTAAATGCTGTCGAGTTAGGTCTGCCTCATAGAGACCCTATATATGGTTTCCAAAGTTTCCAGATGGCAACTTTGAAACTGCCGACTTTGTGGTTCGCAGTCCAGAGCTTATCCTACACAGCATTACACCAGGAGTCCACTTATCTGCAAAATGAGGTTAATAATAGTACCTATTTTCTAAGATCTTTGTATGAATTAAGTGACTTTATGAATGATACGGGCATGGAATGGTGCATAGCTATTTTTAAGTAATCAGTAAGTAAATATTAGTCACAAATTTTATTCTCTTAAGACATGTCCTCCTAACCTAGATCTATTTTACTAACAATATTTAGTAATTTATTCATCTACTTACTCATTTACTTATTTAACTAGTAGCATTTATTTTCTTGAAACTTTGTAGTTTTAGAGCTAGGTAAGCACTTTGCATGGCACTGCAGGGTAATGTGCTGGAACTGCAAGGTCAGTTTGAACTTCCAAGTCAGCAGTTCAAACCCACAAGCCACTCTCAGAAACCCTATACAGGGCCACTATGGGTCAGAACCAACTTGACAGCACTTAACAACAACAAGCACTTTGTGTAGACTTTATACAAAGAAAGGTAAGTTTAGTCAGTTTGGCCTTTTCCATGTATGTTGGATTTTAGAGTGTCAGTTAAAAAAGAAAATACCATTTTTCCTCTTCTGGGTTCTAAACCAGTATGACAGAATGAGAAGAATTAACCAATGAAGATATGACTACCTACTTTATTATTGGTAAAGTTGGAATAGAGAAAGCTCACTTGGCCATAATCACAAGAGAGTACTTGAGTCTATCTATATAGAGAGCAGACCCATTTACCCAGAAGTCTTCTGAACTCATAGTAACCCTATATAAGGTTTCCTAGGAGCAGCTGGTGGGTTTGAACTGCCAACCATGTGGTTCACAGTCCAGTGCTGATCCTACAGCATTAGACCAGGATTTTAGACCTCTTAATCTAACCTACTTTTAAAATATTTCCCCTAAATTCTTTATAAGAATATTTTCATGGAATTATCAGTACCTTTTTTTCCTTTTAGAATATCCTAAAAGGAAATTCTTTTGTATAATTAACAAAAGAAAGGCTAAAAGTTTTTTTGTTTTTTTTAATTAACAGCTTGCAGTTGCAAACAATAGGATTATTACCTTGCAAGAAGAAATGGAACGAGTTAAAGAGGAAAGCTCATACATACTGGAATCCAATCGGAAGGTTAATATTATTGTACTTATGAAATGTTTATAGAGAATTGTAGAAAATATTTATATCAGTGTGTTAGTGGTAAAGGACATGCCTAGAAGACTGTTTTGAAGCAGCAAACATTTGATCATTTTAATCATAGTATTTTTACTTAAACCCAAGTGTACTTGAGTAAAGAGTGAAGGTTTGAGGAGGGTGGTACCCCTCTCCAACATGCTTCTTGTCTTCACTTGCTCTCTCTATATATATATAGAAACGTCAAGAAACAATCTAATCGATTTCTTGTTTCTATGTAAGACTTCCAAATCTTACTAATTAGAAATGCATAATTTAACACATTTTGTCCTCTATGATGACTAGAGATCATAATTATCAACAATAACAATCCTGTGCTAAATAGCAGTGGTTCTACTTTTGAAATTAATACAGCTTCTAGCATCTATGTTTAGATATTCCCAGATTGCTATGTTTTTATATTTATTTTTCTGCCGTGTATGATTTCTTTGACATGCCTTACTTCTTGCTAATCCTAGTGTTGCTGTATCTAGGGAGATAGCCTCACTCCGTTTTATCTTCATACTTCTAATGTATTCCCTAGCAATCCAAATATCCACAGAAATGGTTCCTAAAGTAATAGGGACTATATCTGAGTAGGAACTAATGCTATTTTCTGTGAATAATATATTTGATTTTAATGCATAGAAGAATTTTCTACTTACCTTCTATCTCTGGAGAAAGAATGTAGTACTACCTGAACTTGTGGCCTCACTCATATTTTATAGTTTATTTTTAGTTCTATCTCTGGAGAAAGAATGTAGTACTACCTGAACCTGTGGCCTCACTCATATTTTATAGTTTATTTTTAGAGACTGATTTTTAAAACTTCTGCCTCCTGGTTAGGTAACTTCTCTTAGGATTTTAAATAAAATGGCTAGAAATAGTTTAGCTAAGAATTTATTTGAATTTATTAAGCTTCTTTAGTTTGTTTTTTATTATTAAATCTGATTAGGTATTATTAGTCATGTTTATTACGCTCTGCTTAGGTATGATCATATTTCCTTACTAAATAGCAGTCTTAGTGTCAGTTAACTCTGTATGCTTTTTTTAAATCCTTAATTTTTTTATCTTTTCAAGGGTCCTACTAAGCAAGATAAAACTTCAGAAGGACAAGCACTGAGTGAAGCAAGAAAGTATTTAAAGGAGGAGACACAATTACGACTGGTAATCTTTGTTCAAGTTCTAATAGTTTTCTCTGCTCAAGTTCTAATAGTTTAGGAATACATTAAAAGAGAATAGCCTACTTAGAGATTTTTGTCTTACAGACCATAATCAGAAAAAACAATTGTTGTTAGGTGCTGTTGAATTGATTCCAACTTATAGAGAACCTATATAGTGTTTCCAAGGAGGGAGTGGTGGGTTTGAACCGCTGACCTCGTGGTTAGCAGTCCATTTGTTTGCTGCAGCACCACACCATGACTCCAAAAATATCAGTACTGCTCTTAAATTTTTTCTTTGGGTAGATTTTGAGGAACTTGGTGGTTGTTGGTTTTCTTTCTTTCCCACTTTAAAAAAATTTTTGTTAACAGTTTTTGCCCTCCCCTTCACCCAAATTAGCGCTGTGGGTTAATGCACTGGACTGAAAGGTCGGTTGAACCGCAACGTCAGTGGTTCAAGCTCACCAGCCGCTCCTCGGAAACCCTATACCAGGTTCACTATCAGTTGAACCGACTCAACAGCACTTAACAACAGCAACATCCTCTAGTTAGTGATTTACCCCTTCCTTCCCTTCCCCAAATGTTTTATGGCCCCTATAGAACTGTTTCTCATTCTTTTCACCCATATTCCCCATATTGCCTTTCTGTATCTGTTTTCTCAGTATCAACCAGTACAATTTTGCCAATCTGTTTATTGTTTTGTTTGTATAGTTTGCATGACAACATTAAATTTCTAGAACTTACTTTTTAAAACGATGCAATCCCTACTCCTCCCTCAGTCCTCTCCACTGCACAGATTTTAATGTTTTGTTGGAGGGAGGAGCTCCTCTTCCTTTTACTAAGAGTCACTGATGTGGAATGGTGTACACCTGTTTTTAGCTGTTTATTCTGAATTTATTCTTGTACATAAATAGAAAAATGCATCATCCAGTGTGGGTTTTAAGGTATTTTTTTAAATGATGTGTAAATTTATACTGAGGAATAGTACTCCTATAATAGATTTTATCCACATATTAATATATTTTAATATTCCATAGTAATGGAGTCCTTGGGTGATGCAAACAGTTCAATAATTGGCTACCAACTTAAAAGTGGAGTCCTGGTGTGGCTCTGTGGGTTAGTACACTGGACTGCAATGTCAATTTGAACCTCAAGGTCAGCAGTACAAGCTCACCAGATGCTCCTTAGAAACCCTATACAGTGCGCTGTGAGTTGGAACTGACTTGATGGCACTTAACAACAATAACAACTTAAAGTAGGCAATTTATATCCACCCAAAGCACCTCAGTAGAAAGGTGATCTACTTCCAAAAGGTCACCGCCAATGGAACACAGTATTAATATATTACTTTGTCCTGCAGTTCAGGTAGAATGACAAACAAAATAATATGCAAGAACAATATGTAAGAACATGGCGAAGCCTGAAAATAAGGGGTGATTTAATTGTACTAAAAATTAACAGTGTATGAAACAGAATCTTGGGATTTTGAAAATAAACAATTTATTTTAACATCCCTGAAAAATTGTCTTGTATATATTTGTGAATTAGCTCTCAGATACTATCCATTAGGTGAGTCCTAGAAATAATATAGACCAACATTTTTTAAAGCAGTATGATTTCATTTTCTGTCATGCTAACCATATACAGAGGAGAGTCTCCATTAAGCACAACATAATAAAAATCCTAAATAAAAATTTCCACATCGCTTTATCAGAATGAGTTAAATGCTCATTAAGAAGGGAAGTGACCAAGCAAGCTGGCAAGGTCTAGGCGTGCCCTGGTGCAGAAGAACCTCAGTTCTTTGTACCTTTGTCCAGTCATACTCGGTCATTCAAATAATGGTGCTGGGCACAGCAGATCCTTATCAACAAAGAACAAAGAGACTGCAACTTTATTCAGAAACATTTCCAGTATTAATGGCTGAAACTAAGAGATTTCACATTAAGTAAATCGGAAAATTAATTTACCCATGTTGACCATTCCCCGTTATTAAGAGGTTAGCCAACTATCTCCAGTGTTCCTTGGGCTCTTGAATATATTAACCACATCCAAATTTAAGAAAACAGTGACTACTTTACTTTGGGTTGGCAACTGTAACACTTTATAGATAATGCTATAAAAGAACATGACATCAGTTATGTTAATGAGAACAAATGAGTTCCCTCAAGTGTGTATTTTAGACATATTAAATAGCACTGTCTTTGGTCTAGCACATTTATCAGATTTGTTTTTCAGATGTGTGTATGTTGTAATTATCTTATTATGCTTGCTGTTAATGTCTCTGAAAACTAATGCTAGCCTGCAGTCATTTTTTCAGAATATTCAATTCCTATGAAATGCTATGCTTGACACTTAGTTGAGGAAAGAGGGTAAGCAATCTATTTGTCTTTGGGGTCAGGATGTTGAAAAAGAACTGGAGATACAGATTGGCATGAGACAGGAGATGGAACTGGCCATGAAGATGCTGGAGAAGGATGTCTGTGAGAAGCAAGACGCCCTGGTGTCTCTCCGGCAGCAGCTGGATGATCTCAGGGCTCTCAAGCACGAACTTGCCTTTAAACTGCAGGTAGGGGCAATGTGAGGGACAGACTCACTGACTCTAAAATCTCAGAGTGGGGAGGGCTCCCTAAAAAAATCACACTTTAAATGCCAGAGGACTGAGTTACATCTCACTTTGTGGTTAGCTGCTGATAAACCACTTTATAAATCAGACTATCGTATTACTGATCTAGATAGCTACTTTTCAAGTTTTAATGGGGAAGGTCTATTTTATCTTAGAGAATTTCTACTTTCCTGTCTAACTTACAAGCAGAGTCATACAAGAGAACTTAAAAATTCATGAAAAAATTTCATTATCTTTTCATTTTCTCATGAACTTTTTGAAGCCCCCTTATATATCCAATGAACTTTTATATTGGAATACGATAAATTGATGAGTCTTGTGATGTTGATTTTTATAATACGGCTTCATACAAATAATGGAGACCTGGTGCCGATAAGCACTGGATTGCTAACCATAAGCTAACCTCAACGTTGGCAGTTCAAACCCACCAGCCGCTCCTTGGAAATCTTATGCAGGGTCACTATGTATGAGTCAGAACCGACTTGGCGGCACTTAATAACAAGAGCAACTTTATATTTTGTTTTTTTTCTCCATTTGGGAGTTAACATACAAATATATGAACATTTCTATTTCCCATTTAAAGCTAAGTTCAAAAGACATGCTTGATATAATTTAGAATTTTATATAAATCACTGTATTCTTTTCTGTGACAGAGTTCAGACTTAGGAGTAAAGCAGAAAAGTGAACTGAACAGTCGCTTGGAAGAGAAGACCAATCAGATGGCTGCTACCATCAAACAACTGGAACAAAGGTAAAAGTGCAGTTTCTTGAATGAAATCCTTTGGTCTGGTCTTTGAGGGAATATGATATGTATTTGGTAAATAGAAAATTTGCCAAATACATAAAATTATTTTTCGCTTTCAGACATGCTGCTAGATAGAAATGCAGATATGTTTTGTTTGTATTTTCTAAGATGTCACTAAAAACATTTTTTTTAAATGTCAATTTTTCATGAATATTTTGGATAGCAGGACTTTTACCCTTTTACTGAACTCTTTTTCTGTATCTTGTGCTCAAGGAAGAATACTTACAATAAGAACTAATTTGGAAAGAACCTTTAAATATATGTTTGTAACTCTGGAATTTCATTGTCCATCACTTACAGTGTTTGAATGCTTTGTTACTAGATGATTAGTGGTACTGAGATACAGGTGACCTCTGAGGATCTAGTCTGAATCTTTTTCTCTTTTCTTTAACTTTTCTTTCCTCTCTCCAATCTCCCTTTTTTCTTTCTTGCCCCTGGACATTTCTGTGAAGCTTGCACTGTCACCTCCCACCCACAACTCAGATCTGTGTTTCTGCTGCTCTGACCTCCATCTAGGGACCAGTTTATCGTTCCCTGTGCCCAAAGCTAACCTTCTCCCCATGCCACTCTGTTGTTTTTCTTGTTTCTCTGATTTTCTAAAATCACCATTTTCTTCCTGATGACTCAGCTGCCTAGAGATATGGCTGAGATGTCCAGATTGAATGAAACATGACATCCAAAGTTGTTCAGTGTTGCAAATCTATGCTCCCAACGTTGTTGTTGTTAAGTGCCGTTGAGTCGGTTCCAACGCTGGTGACCTTGAACCACCGACCTTGTGGTTCAAATGACTTTACTAGTCAGCACATTAGCCCATTGTTGCAAACATTGTTGTTGTTGTTGTTAAGTGCCGTCGAGTCAGTTCCGACCCATAGCGACCCTGTACAGGGTTTCCGAGGGTGTAAATCTTTACGGGAGTAGAAAGCCTCATCTTTCTCCCGCGGAGCAGCTGGTAGTTTCGAACCACTGACCTTAAGGTTCGCAGCCCGATTTGTAAACACTACGCTACCAGAGCTCCTTGTTGCAAACATTAACACCCACTAAATCACCCAGTTAAGGAGCCCTGGTGGCATAGTGGTTCTATTGTCAGACTGCCTGCCACAAATTCAGCAGTTGAAATCCACCATCTTATCTTTTGATGAGAATATAGGCTCCTTGAAGTTAGTTAACTAATCTTTAAGTCCCTCATTGGATCTGTCACAGTGCCATGAGCATACAAAAGGTATTTAGGGGATACTCCAGTTAATGAGTGACTTATTTTATTCAGGGGATTCTTAACACCACACTGTATGTTAATTACAAATTAATAATGAAGTGTAAAACCTCTGTTTTGACTGATGAGTAAAAAGCTATCACTTTGCCTAGTTATCTAAGAAAATATGTACTTGCTTGTAGAAGTTATGTTTATGATTTAACAAATCATTCTTAGTGTTCATAAGTTATGCTTTTGATATGTTATATCAAATTATCGTTCAGTGATTTTTTTTACTTGGTATTTAAAGCAGACAGAGCTAAAGTAATTACTTACTTCTTTAAGTATGATATAGCTGACTTGGTCTCTTGCTATTTTGTCTTTCTTTTTTGTGCATTTTCTCACCCTTCTTTCACTCCATTTTCATTTTTATTTTATTAATTTAGTGAAAAGGATTTGGTGAAACAGGCAAAAACCTTAAATAGTGCAGCAAATAAACTGATCCCAAAACATCATTAGGCATTTCACAGTTGATCACCTCACAAGTCTGTTATCACAACAAAATTGTAAAAGGAAGAAATCTGAAAGTTACTATGTTTAAGCTCCGGTTCTATAAAATGTCACCAAAAGTTGACTTGGAATTTGCTGGACTTGAAAAAATCAGTTGGATGTATAAGTTGGGTTTTATTTGCTTGCTTCTTTTTTAATTTCTCCCCCAGAATTAAAAATTTGGTATAAGTTTCCTGACTAAATGCCAAATAAACTTTGTAAAATTATTTCTTATTTGACCAGTAAACAAATTATTGGAAAAAAAAGAAAAGAAAAAGTCTAGGGAGTTGAAGCCCTAAATGTATTTATCAATTACTTTATAACCCAGTCCTTGACAATATCAGATTCTAGGTACATTGTTTTTGTCTGTATCAGCTCAGTGAACCTGTTTAGCCACTGAAATATAATGAACTAGAGGTGAATACCATGTGAGCTTGGACTGTGTGTCTTAGGCCATGACTTCTTTTAATTTCTGTTACGTAGGTTTAGTCCCATGCCAAGGATAAGAATTTAGCATTTCATATCACTACAGTTTTAGTAATCAAGATTGCGTGCAACTTTTTTAGCCTTAGTGACTTGAGGGGAAAAAACAAAAACAAAATAGCATCTTTACATTTATTTTAAGTACATAGAGATAAAGTTAGTAAGTTGGTTATTCATGGTAACATAGCAATGTAGATGCTTGGGTAAATCTTACTATTTTTCATCTTCTACCTCTGCAATTTTTTCCTATAATTCCACTTTCTATTTAGATTTCTCAGAGGGGAAAAAAAAACAAAACAACAACTAATAATAAAAGCACTCTTCTCCTTAAAAGATAAATAAAGAAACAATAGGCTAACCATTTTTCAAATCTATTCTCCTTTTCCTGTTGAATTAAAGAGGGCAGGGTGTAGACATGAGTGATGGTTTCCTGCCTGTCCTTTACCTGGAAAACTCTTAATTAATTCAGAGCTTCTGTTACTTTTTCTTAAAGTTCCTAGGAAACTAATAATACGTTACTAGAAAAGCATTTCAAAGTAGGAAGTAGTTATCCTTTATTGTCGTTTAGTCTAAAAATGAACAAGTCCCAGTAGATATCCAAAAACAATATTAGCAGGGTTTCTTTTTCTAAGTGACCACCAATCTAACCCTTTCTAGGCTTTAGAGTGTAAATAATCCTATAAATACTTGGATTATTTTTAATGATTTGATTCTGGGGGACAGGCTTTCCATAAGCCTTCATTCCTTCAAAAAATATCAGCAAAATATTTGCTTTTTCTCTCATTCTGGTATGATTTGCAGCATTTCAGCTGCTTAGGTGAGGACAAAGATAACCCCTTTGCTTTCAGCTATTGAAGTCTCTTGTCACCTTCTTGACAAAACCAGAGTACAAGAATAAGACAGGTCCTTGCAGAGACTTGAACCGAAGTCAAGTTAAAAAAAAAAAAACATGTTTAGAACAACTTAATGGAAGATCTTGTGCTCTTAAGTTTTAGTTTTTATAATTTTGCACCTATACAATATAGTTCTTACTGTATTTCTGCCTTTATCCACCACTTATGGTAATGAGTTATCTTACTATGAACATTTGGAAATAGTGCTCAAACACCAAAATAAGGCTTTGAAAATTAAAAAAAAAAAAAAAGCAAAAAAAGCATGCTTCCAATTTATATTAAAGAGAACCTCCAATGTTTCACCTTCTAGAACATGCTTCTTTATAGGAGCAAAGTTGTAGGCAGAAGACAACATTCATCAGAATCTTCCAGATAATAAGGTCAGGAATCTTATGCAGGCCTAGTACCTCTTAGTTGTTTGTCCACGTGGTCACACAGCACATGGCCAAACTCTGACAAAGGCTTTTCCTTACCGAATAACCCAGAAGCTGCGTGAGGGTTAATGAATAACATTCTAAGATTTGATACATTATGTGGTTTGAAGAAAGGACCAGAGAAATGTTCTAATTCCACATATAAGAAATTGCCCATTTACAAGTTCCAGTAATGTGCATAAGACAGAAATGGAAAGTACCAAACCTGCTAGTAAATAAAAACAAGCAAGACAGTGGGTTTAACTTAAATTACTGTTTACTTGAGGTTGGATTTGGATATGGGTTTTTAAAAACGTGATGTCTTATTGTTTATCATCTAATGGCTGTAAACTGTAGTAATAGAATAGTAATAATAATAATAAAAAAATTGAAAAATCAGCTTTTCTTCTGCCTGGTTCACCTTCATCTTGCTTTTCTTTAAAATTTGTTTCCTCAGCATTTTTTTTTGCCCCCATAATTTCTTCTCCTTTGTTTTACAAAATTTTTGTCTGTCTCTCCCAGCCTTCCTCCTTGGGTTGTTTTATTTTATGTTATGAACTCGGTCTTCCTCCCCACCATGGCTTTTGTTTTTTATCACAAGTTCATGTGGCTCACATCCAGATTGCGCCAAGCTGAGCGAGGCCGCCAATCGGCCGAATTGGATAACCGGCTCTTCAAGCAGGATTTTGGAGACAAGATCAACAGTCTGCAGCTGGAAGTGGAGGAGCTCACCAGGCAGCGGTGAAGAGAGGGCATCTTGAGCTGACAGGGTGGTAATCATGGGTAATGCTAAAGACAAACCAAGAAAAGGGGATCTCATGACTTCCAGCCATCTCTGCACTTTGTAGTGATCTTTTTCTGTAATTAGAATTCAGAAAGCTTCACATATACAAACATTCCCAAAATCCATTCTGTTTGGATTATTTTAAACTTCTTTCTACTGTGTGCCAGATACTTTTACTAGGCACTTCACATACATTCTCTCCTAACAAACTCACATCAACTCAGTTAGTAGGTGGTATGTATTATTTCCCTCACTGTAGATTGAAACAAGGTTTAGAACAGTTAAATTTCTCCATATTCACACTGTTAAGTGTGGTGCTGTAGGATAAGCACTGGACTGCTAACTGCAAGGTCCGAAGTTCTATATCACCAGCTGCTCCTTGGAAGCCCTGTACAGAGTCATTATGAGACAGAACCAACTCAAAGGCATTAACAGCAACAGGCTAATAAATGGGAACACTGTTATTTCAAAGCCTGCCTTTCTGACTCGAAGCCCTTAACCACTTTTCTGTATTATCTCTCAAATAAGACTCACTTCCATGCTGAAACTGCTGACTTAATATAAATACAACTTTGTGTTGAATACAAAGCACATATGAGTAGCTACTAAGGACACTAGTGGTTGAGGTTTTAACTGGAATTAAATACATAACTGTAGAGAGATCAGCTAATAAATATGAAATAGGGCTAGAATATCAGTACTTTGATATATATCTTGCTGAAAATTAGTAAACATGTCTTTTAAGTACAGTAAATCCGATCATTTTTTATTTTGTTGAGTCATAACTCTTTATTAGGAGTTAATATAAAATGTTAATATTTCAAGTAGTGATTTTCATGCACTGTAAAATCCTAAAAGGCATTCTTAATCATCCAAGAAAATTCAAGTGTGTTGTATGTCTTTTAGTGTTAAGCTGTTGGATTTATTGTATTATAGTTTAATACTTTAAATTTCGGTTTTCTGTGTATCTGGTAACTTTTTATCAAGTATTCAATTTTACTTGTTAAACTTTAAGGAAAGGGACTGACATTCTTTAGAGAATAGAAATCTAAATTTTCATCCTTTTCCTCTTCCACCTACCCCAGAACTCAGCTTGAGTTAGAACTAAAACAGGAACGAGAAAGAAGATTATGTAACAACAGGAGCATCCCAGGAAAGGGTTCACAGAAGACAGAGCCTAAAACGGTAATACTTGTTTATTCCCCTGTTCATTCACTTTAATTTAAATTGGATTTTTAGAAGCTGCATTGATAGGCCCCACCGTTTGCTTTCAGGGCTCATATACTTGATTGCTTTTGCCTTGAGTGTGTAGATTGCAGGCAAGAGATGGAGAGAGTACAGGCAAGCTTGATTCTAAGTCTACTTCTAGGAATCTCTCTAACTTGCTTCTACTTGGTAACAGGAGTTTGGTAACTGTGATTTTCATGGCTCTTGTATCTTCTTCGATTTGTTAAGATAATTTTGGTATCTTAGCAAAAATAAGTATTTTTCAGACATCTGCTAACTAAAAATACTCTAATAATGATATAGTAAACACTTCTAACCCTCAGTTTCTTAACAGAATTTTCTTAAATATGTATTTGCTTCTATACACACATTTTTCAAAATCATAAAGATCCTAGTTTGAATATACTCAGGTATAACAATAACTAGAAAAAGAAGGAACTAGGCTGGATACACAAGTAATAGAGAAAGTACGGAATAGAGGTTTCTGCAAAACGATCTTAGGAAAGAAACCTCTAGTAACTATAAAGATTAGGGAGCTAAAATTGTCTCTGGCATTTAAGAAACAGTGTCAGCTTCTTCAAGTAATAAAATCAGAAAAGCCTGGAATTCTTTTTCCGCCAGAGACCAAACATGGGGAGAGAACTGCCTCCTTCATAAACATATATAAGAAAGAACAAATTAATCAGCTCATTAAAATTCCTGTAGAGTGAGCTACAGGAGAGCAGAAAAGAATAAAAAATGGAATTTTATCATATAATGTCTGTAACTAATAGTATTGGCACAACAGTTAAGTACTTGGCTGTTAACAAAAGGTCAGTGGTTCAAATCCTTACCACAACTTTGCAGAAGAAAATGACATAAAATCTTCTCCCATAAAGATTACAGCCTAGATGACGTTATGGGGCAGTTCTGCTCTGTCCAACAGTCACAATGAGTCAGAATCAACTTGCTGGCACACAAAATCAATAACAACTAATAATTTAATGGTGTGTTGCTGCAGGATAAACACTGAACCAAAAAGGTCAGTGCTTCGGCAGTTCAAACCCACCAACTGCTCTTTGGAAACCCTATACAGGGTCATTATGAGTCAGAACCAACTCAACGGCACTTAACAACTAAGTACCACTCTCTATGTAGCATACTGTCTTTATTGTTTTCATTTTGTGAATAGTAAATGTGCTCATAAGGGCTTCCAGAGGTTTGTTTAAAATCTTGGCCTATCTTATCCCAGCTTTCTAAGGAGGCCTTAAAGTTTCTCAATCTTAAATTGCCCTGCAGTAGCGGTTTCCAAGAAGATAATATCCTTAACATTGGGATAATAAGAAGAGACTTCAAAAAATTCCTGGGAAAATGCCATTATCTTTTCATTCCATTTTCCCAAGAGCTTTTTGAAGCCCCCTTGTATTGTATTGACCTCCTTTCCTTGACCCTTGAGTGGTCTGAGAACACACATTCCACTCTTGGAGGCAGCAGGGCAGCATAGAGCACTGGGAAAAATGCATTTGGGAACTTTACAATGGTCCTTCAGAGTAGGAAAATTCTTGAGTTGTATAGGTTGTAGAAGTTGTGATGACATTAGGGTACCTACTAGGATTATACTGTCTGCTGGATGCATCTTGGCCACGCTCACTTGGACCAGTTTTTCATAATGTATTTTCTCCTACGAAGTAACTGATATTTTAAGCCTGCTCTACAAGTAAGTAAGGAGCTCTGGTAGCGTAGTGGTTACGAATTGGGCTGCAAACCTTAAGGTCAGCGGTTCGAAACTACCAGCTGCTCCGCGGGAGAAAGATGAGGCTTTCTACTCCCGTAAAGATTTACACCCTCGGAAACCCTGTTACAGGGTCGCTATGGGTCGGAACTGACTCGACAGCACTTAACAACAACAAGTAAGTGAGATACGTTCTAAATGTCATTTCATCTCAGGAATTAAAGAAAAAAAAAATTCAGGAGCTCAGGTAGCATAGTCGTTATGAGTCAGGCTGCTAACCTCAAGGTCAGCAGTTTAGATGTTTCATAGGAGAAAGATGAGGCTTTCTGCTCCCATAAAGATTTACAGCCTAGGAAACCATATACAGGGTCACTATGAGTCAGAACCAACTCCATGGTACACGAACCCCTACCACCACCACTATGAAAATAACTTGTTTCAATCTATGTTAGTCGTTTTTTTAAAAAACCACTTGGCGCAGAGAATGAGAAAACATCCTTGAAGGTTAGATCTCTTCTCTTATTAAAAAACAAAACCTACTTATTAGTTTTGCATACCCAAGCTAATACCACACAGAATAAAATATCAGCAACATCATCATGGGTTAGCATTCTGAATAATGAATCAATTCAACTCTTTTCTTTTGGCAGGATGGGAAGCACAGAATTCAAGATGAAAATGTTGACCTAAAAAAAGCCTCAGAAGAATGCCACAGGTCTTTACTAATCAAATATTTATTAAGATATAACGTTATTTGGGGGTGTTGGGAAAGAGGGAGCTTTTGATACTGGTTGGCCTTGTCACAGACTAGGTACTGACTTCAGAAATATTTAACATGCCAGAAAGATATTTTGAAGGGGAAGTGAATAAATAACAAAGCAGGTAAAACATATTAAACCAAACTCATTGGTCCATTTTATAAAAAGAGTAATCAGTCTGTCCTGATTCTTCCCTAATTAATTCACAAACTCAAATTAACACTTTAAAAATTATTAATAGGTGTCCCAAAAGAATTAAGTCATAGCATTTCTTAGGCTCTTAAATGTACTTGAGTTCATTCGTTTCCACTTTTGTGCTAAGTGAAAAGTAGCTGTGTTTCAAATCAATCCTCTCATTCCCCATATCTCATTTCTCTTAGAGTCACACAGCTTCACTTGATTCCGTTTTCTTAGCTCTTATTGTACACAGTATGTGAAGCATAGCATCTGTTTTGAGGAAGTTCACCTTGGGCAGTTATTTTAGATGGTAGAAATATTTCAAAATATTGCATAGTGCTGCTGTATCAAAAAATAAAGGAGATTAATAATGAGGAAAAATGCTCTGGATAAATTTAGAGAAAAGTAAACAGTATAGTTTATTGGCACTTGCGTCTGCCCAGGCTTTGTTGCCTTCAGAATGAAGCTCTGTGTCAACTGGAACAAAAGGGAGGGGGGGTGTAAATGAACTTTTGAAAAGTGGAGGAGACTGTACTTAACTTGAACACCCTTCCTCACCTCTAAGGTAATGTTTCCAAAGCCTTTTATTTTGTTCTCACAGAAGGTAGTATGATCTACAGCTAACTTTAACTCTTTCACCACCCATGGGACATATAGCACCCACATATATCGCCCTCTTCTGGGGTAATTTGGGCAGCTGTTTTCCCACTGACAGTGCTTGCAGCTGGCAGGAGGGGAGCTTTATAAGACTGTTAGAAATGAAAGAAATGGGTGAGTGCCTCAAATTACTGTTTTTACAGGTTATTGTATAAGGTAATGCAGCCCGTAGGTGTGATTTTGACATTTTTGGTCTGTTTTTACATTTTTCACTGGGAGATCAGCCTAGTAAGGAAATTTCCAGATTGCTGTATGTTGCTTTGGAGCCGTGATGGTGCTGTAGGATAAGGCTGGCAGTTCACAGCCACTCCACAGGAGAAAGAGGAGGCTTTCTGCTCCCACAAAGATTTACAGCCCGAGAAACCCTATCCAGGGTTACTGTGAGTTGGAATCAACTGGATGGCAGTGGGGTGGAATACATTGTTTAGAAGTTGCCCTTCTCGCGATTATTCCATGTTTACCCATCAAAGGATTTAAAAAGTTGTGCACAGTCCAGAGAGATGTATATGTTGAATTAATCTTACCATCCTCCTCTGAATCCAGAGTAATAAGCATGCCCTGTAATCATACCCTAGAGTTGAGAGGAACATATGTCCCAATCATATGTATAAAAATCCACGTCATAACAAAATTTCAGAAATGTACCTTGATTCAGCATGTCTTCCACTTGATTGAAAACATAGTATCAAAAATTTTTTCAAAGTAGAAAATTGGGTCATGAAAGTGTCTACGTAACTTTACAGATTTGCATGGGCACATGGAAGGGAACAAGAAAGGTCTTCACGTTACCCTGAGCTTCCAAGTACTTTCCAGAACAAAATCAAGTCATTTACAATCAGGAGTGTCTATTAAATGCTAGGTCCCAATTTAGATCCTAGGAATATAAGAAAATATTATCTGTGGGGGATTTTTCCTAGAACTGGAGTGGGCTCAGTTTTTTTCATTTAGGTCCTTTTCCTAATTAATTTGCTCAAGTTCACATTTTAATAATATTTGTAGAGGGGGAAAAATACATGACATTATCAAGAATAAGTTTCCGTATCAGAAAAAAAAAAAAAAAACGCTATTAAAAAGTATGGCATTGGCCATTGGAATTTACATGTTGGAAAACATGAACGTTAACTATTTTTTGGTAGTGGTGGTGTTGTGTGCTGTTGAGTCCATTCTGACTCAGAGCGACCCCATATAAAGTTTCCAAGGAGTGACTGGTGGGTTTGAACTGCCGACTTTGTGGATTAGCAGTCCAGTGCATATCCCACAGTGCCACACGAGGACTCCCTTTTTCTTGGTTGCTGTTGTCAGGTGCCATCGAGTCGGAACCGACTCATAGTGAACCCATGCAAAGCAGAACGAGACAATGTCCAATCCTGGGCCAACCACACTTGAGTCCATCAATGATGCCACCTGGCCAATCCATCTCGTTGGGGGTCTTCCTCTTTTTTTCCAACCCTCCATCTTACCAAGCATGACATCATTCTCCAGTGACTGTTCCCTCCTGACAATATGTCCAAAGTATGAGAGACGAAGTTTGGCCATCTTGGCCTCCAAGGAGCACTCTGGCTGCACTTCTTCCAAAACAGATCTGTTGGTTCTTTTGGCAGTCCATAGCACTTTTATTATTCTCCTCCAACACCATAACTCAAATGCATCAATTCTTATACAGTCTTCCTTATTCACTGTCCAACTTTCGCATGCATATGAGGTTATTGAAAATACCATGGCTTGGGTCAGGCGCACCTTAGTCCTCAAGCTGACATCTCTGCACTTCAACACTTTAAAAAGTTCCTGTACAGTACATCTGCCTAATGCAATACGTCTTGGTAGTAGAAACAAAAATAAAATAAGTTCCTAATCTGTTTTTAAGCAGGAACTATAATAATGTAAGCCAAGGGTCAGATTCTAGTAACAGATTTAACAACAACAAAAAATTTTTTTCTGTTGAGTCACAATAATCATGTTGCTCCCAGCAGCATTAAAAGGACATAGTAGTGCTTTTTTAGCAAAATTTGTGTTTTCTGAGCAACTTTTAATTGAGATGGTGTCAGTGGAAATGCAGTAGCTTACTCTTTATTTTTGTCCTTTATTCTCCATTTCAGGCTGCAGTCTCACTCCCTGGATCAACAGGTAATTGAGCCTACTGTTCTGAAATGTCTTGTATAAGAGATGAAGTTGGTTGGAGCATGCCTCACCATAAACAAGGTAGCTTAGGAGGCGAACGAATGATTCCAAGCCTTTGCTGATGCTCCTTTTCACAGTGTCTGAAAGAGCTTGCACAGGCAGTAGCACAGCTTTGAACATTTTACTAAGGAAATAGCCATCCTCACTTCTCACTGTACAGTGTCTCTGATATACTCTGGAGCCTGGCAGGACTCCCTTTGCCTCAGTTTCCCCAGACATAAAATGGGGGTGGGGGTAGGGAGAGAAAATGAACTTCTTGATTACTTAGAAATAAGTCAGATTAAATGGTAGTAAAACACTTTGCATATAGCACGGCATTTAACCACCCCATGAGAGAGATGGTCAGGGTTACTATGTCTGCGGCCCCTGTAATTCAGTTCCTAGGATGTGAAGTGAAGCCTAGACTGTCCATTCTCAGTGCAAGAGTAAAACAAGAGGGACGGGGCAATTTTACCTTTTATTATTTTTTAAATGTTTTCTACTTCCATATGCTTTAATTTTGTTTTTATAAGTAACATCACATTTTTACTTTTATTTTAAAAATTAATAGAACTACAACAATAATGATAGAATTATGAGTTGTACTAAGGTGTTGGGACTATATGTAATTGTTTCCAGATTTTTTTCCAATATGCTTATATGCATTTTTTGTAATGTACATGCATTTTCTGAAAGTATTAATGTTTCTGGGACTCAGGGTAACTAAACTGGCTGCCTGTATGGTTTAGGATCAGCATCTGCTCTCTGAAAAGCCACAGGTGTGTGAGCTATGCCAGGAAGATGGTGGCAGCACAAAAAAGGTAAGTGGGGTGAGAAGTGGGCAGATTCTTCCTGGAGATGCCCACTATTGCTCCAGCCCCTTTTCAGGAATAACAGACTTCTCTCGTGTACCCCGTGACTCATCAGAGTGCAGAGTTGGTAGAAAAGCAAAGGGAGCAGTGGTTGATTAGCTGTGCTTTTTCAGTCGTAGTAAGTCATGCCAGAAAATCCCCACTAAGAATAAATGATTTGAAACAAATAAGCAAACATAAATATATGCATTAAGTAGAAAATATACATTGAGAGCCTAATGTGGCATATGCTATCCCATGTACTGTAGAAAGAATAATGAACAAAATAGACCAAGTCCTATTCTTATGAAGTTTATGACCTTTGTGTCATCATTATGTGGCTCAGAGAAGTTAAATACATCCCCCAAAGTTAGTTCTACAGTTAATGGTAAAGCCCGGAGTCCAGCCTGACTTGGGCTCCAAAGTCTGTGGTCCTTGCAGTTATTCCATCCTTGTTACAACAGAAGAGGGAGGTAGGATTGACAAAAGAGGTTCTTTTAATTATTTGGGGAAATTGCCTCTGAAAGGGAAATTAACTCTCCCCACTTGTTTTCCCACAAACCTTCCTGATCTGTTGTCCTGAAGTAAGCAGAAGAGGAAGGAAGCATTTAGGAAGAATGAGTTGCTTTTATAGGCAGATCTGTGTCTTGCTCATAGGAATCTCCCCCATAATCTAATATGGTACCAAGTATACAAGGGGCTTCAAAAAATTCATGGACGAATGGAATGAAAAGATAATGAAATTTTCCACAAACTTTTGAAATCCCTTTGCATTGTTAGGTGCTGTCGTCAGTTCCAACTGATAGTGACCCTATATACAACAGAGTCCTGAAGGACATCGTAATTGGTAAAGTGAAGGGTTAGCAGAAAAGATGATGACTCCCAATGAGATGGATTGACACGGGACACCCACAATGGGCTCAAACAACTGTGAAGATGGCACAGAACCAGGCAGTGTTTCTTTCTGTTGGTGTATAGGGTCACTAAGAGTCAGACCAACCCAGTGGCACCTAACAACAACGTATATAACAGAACAAAATACTGGCTGGTTCTACACCATCATCACAATTGTTGCTGCGTTTGAGCTCACTATTGCAGCCATTGTGTCAGTCCGTCTCGTTGAGGGTCTTCTTTTTTTTCCGCTGACCTTAAGGAGCTCTGGTGGCATAGTGGTTACGAATTGGGCTACTAACCTCAGGGTCAGCAGTTCGAAACTACCAGCTGGTCCACGGGAGAAAGATGAAGTTTTCTGCTCCTGTAAAGATGTATAGCCTCGGAAACCCTGTACGGGGTCGCTATGAGTCAGAACCGACTCCATGGCACATAACCACCACCAAGCATAATGTCCTTTTCTAGGGATTACTCCTGCCTAATTTGTTGTTGTTGTTGTTTTTGTTGTTAAGTGCCGTCAAGTCGGTTCCGACCCATAGCGACCCTGTACAGGGTTTCCGAGGCTGTAAATCTTTACGGGAGCAGAAAGCCTCATTTTTCTCCCGTGGAGCAGCTGGTAGTTTCGAACTGCTGACCTTGCGGTTCCCAGCCCGATTCGTAACCACTACGCTACCAGCTGCCCAATATAAGTGAGTCTTGGTGGTACCATTAGGTATGTTTACTATTTTTCTTCTAAGTTTTGGTGGTACGTTTGAGTATGTTTGCTGTTTTTCTTCTAAGTACTTGTTCCTTACACTCACTTTAAAGAGTCTATAGTATATGCTTACCAGACTAGTGAGTGTTAAGAAACAAGTACTTAGAAGAAGAACAGTAAGCATACCCATATTCTGGATTATAGCGTATCCCCATTTATCAGACTGCAAGGTCAATGGTTCAAGCTCACCAGCTGCTCCTTAGAAACCCTATACAGGGCCGCTATGGGTCGGGACCAACTCAATGGCACTTCACAACAACAATCCCCATTGATGATAATGCTGAATTTTAGCAAACAAAACTATAAGATGACCTAGTCTTAGCCTTAAATTAACAGGATAGGTAATGAACTGTCTTTACAGATTTTAAAAGCTGTTAATATAGAAATATGTTCTAAAATATGCCAACCTAATTCTCATTTTTGTCTTCAGAGTTATGCAGACTAATTTTAGTATGTCCAAGGAAGACCCCCTCCCCACTTCCACCCCTCCACTCACCTGCCACCCTCCTACCCCAGTCTTTACACCTCCTACTTTCATGCATCCTGAGGAATTGTTTAGCATGAATTCTTGGGTATCCAGTTTCATAGGGAGATGACTGACTGTTCAGAGCCTTTTATTCAGGAACCCTTGTAACCTTATGTCTTGCCATTGACACTGCCATGGTGACCCACATGCTCTCCCAGCTCTTAGCTACTAAAGATTCAAAATCTTTACTAGAGGCCAGTTTCCTTATTATCAGAGTACAGGAAGCTATGTTCCTACTTAAGGAGCGTATCTGAAAGGACATGTTTATAGAGCGTCACAGGAGAGCTTTTCAACACATCAGGAATTATATTTTGAAATTATACTCAGCAAATGTTTTAATCCTGTCCACCGCATCCACTGCTAGATTAGCGCCTGTCTTGTTTCGAGTATATTTATAGATACTTATGAACTTATTTTAGCGTTGTTCTTGTTAGCTGCCATCGAGTGTGATCCCATTCATGGTGGCCCCATGCACAACAGGATGGAAGCATTTTGATCTACAGGATTTTCACTGACTTTTGGAAGTAGTTCACCAGGCTTTCCTTCCTAGTCTTAGTGTGTAAACTGTGCTGAAACCTGTTTAGCATTAGAGCCACACACGAACCTCCACTAACAGGTGGGTGATGGCTAAATATGCAGTGCATTTGCCAGGAGTCAAACCCATGTCTTCTGCTTGTAAGGCAGTAATTCTGCCACTGCTCACCACTACCGCCCTCAATTTTAGAATTCAGATTGAAAGGGAATTTAGTGAGCAGAGGGGACAGAATACTAAATGAATTATAAGGCAAAGAATTTGTATATTAGCTCTTATTTGGAGTCCTCTAACACTGCTGCTTCATTTAGATCTTAGAATTTGACTGCAAGCTTCTTTGTACATGGGTCTGTATTTGGTCAGATGCTGTCTGGCACACAGGAAATATTCAGTCAATACTTGATTAGGCATTGAGCATTTACCAGTTTGCCTTTTTATGTATAGTTCACACATCCTAATCTCTGGCTTCTCTTCTCCTTGTAGAATGTATGCAAGAACTGCAAAAGAATCTTCTGCAATGCCTGTTCAACAAATGAACTGCCTCTTCCTTCAAGTATCAAGCCTGAGCGAATTTGCAATCCCTGCCATAAGCATCTGATGAGGCAGTATTCCACCAGCCCATCGTAAGACAGGAGGCCAAAACATACCTGGACCAAGACTTTTATGTAGGGCTTGTCTCTACATGTGCAAGATGTCATGATCACCAGTCCTAAGAATCAACTAAAGGATTGATAGAGAGGAATTATTGAACTACATCAGGTCCAGGGAGAAAGGCAGTGCTTGGGACTGCTGGGAAGTTTGCCCGTTCTTCTAATAACTATATGAATAAAAGTTCCTCATCCACATCTTTCTCTTCCAAATGTAAATAACCCCACTTTGAAAGATTTACTGGATAGCATTATCTTTGGAAGGGTTATTCATTTTTATGAATAGTGATTATCCCGGGGTAGCTATAATAGAAGCGGAAGAGTGGTCCAAGCAGTTTAGAATAAAAAGGAAATTGCTCATCTCCTCTATGTATTTTCAGAACGGAAAGATAAATGTTAGCTGAGATCAAAATGACAGACAATACATATTTTCCCAGGTGCTGCTAGACACAAACATTGTTTCCTCACCCTCCATTACCTACCTCTTCTTTAAATGATCTTTACCAAACTGTGAACCCAGACTCAGGGGAGAAAAAGATAAAGTAATATAAATTCTGGGTGTACTTGAAACAATATTGTAATATATTCAGATTTCAGGCCCAGAAGGAAGATATTGGCCTACAAAGATTTTCATTAGCAAAACAAAAAGGCATTTGCAGTTTTTGTACTTAAATGATTTCAAAAATATCTACCTTTTTCAGAATCTTCTACCACAAATCAAGCCAACTCTTCTCTAGAACATCCCTCCCTCCCAAAGTCATAAAGGAAATTTAAGTTTTCAAGATTTTAAGGGTTTGACTTTTGCAGATAGGATCTATTGAGAACAAGGCTAGATCAAGTATAGCGTAAAACAAATTTGTCCATGACTGAGAACCGTTAGCTCAGAAATTTACTGGGTATTTTGCTGTGTTTTTCCTGTAATATAAGAAATCTCTTATGTTCTGAGCTAAGAATTAGAGCTGAGACAGGTTTCTTGGAAAGGACAATACTCAAGTATCTCTTTAGTTGCAAACCCTCTGGGGAGAGATGGAAGTGTATTCTTTAAGAAAAATAAATAGAATATACCATTTAGATTATGTTGAAACTCTGGAGATTGACTCTTGTTAAGATCTAAGATAAAATTCTGCCACTGACTTAGAATTCTGGGATGGGAACATCCTAGAACTGAGGTGTTGGATAAATCTTGTCTCCTTGAAAGGATGACAGCCTGAGAAAGAGTTGTTATTCCAGAAGCCTAGTCTGTTATTTGTTGAAACTGAGGCTTACGTGTCTTGAGACAAATAAAGTATAATTCCAGCTTATTTTCTTTTTTCCCATAAAAATTTTGTGTCTGTTTCTTTATTCTCATTTTTTGACCACCTGCATATAAATGCATTGTATCTGACCTTTTGATGACTAACAACTTTTATAGATTCATACTTCATACATTCCATGTTCCAATTTTTAATGGATGTTTGCAGTCGTTTTTTTTGTGACTTGTGCCCCAATATCAAATGAAGGTCCTGCAATCTGTGCTTCATTCACACATGAGTAGGCGTCCACAGAGGGGTTGGTCCATCTTCTGGCACTGTCTGACAATGGTCCACTGCTGCTCCTAAGGTTTTTGGCAGCTAAGCATTCAGAGGTGGTTTGCCTCTCCTTCCTATTGGAAATTTGTAAGCTCCACTGATAGCTGTCCGCTATAGGTGACCCTACTGGTTTAAAATACCAGTGGCATAGCTCCCAGCATTACAGCCACACACAAGTCACTACAGTACAACAAATTGACAGATATGGCAGGTAGTAGTAATACAAATAGTATTATTAGCATAGGTAACCTATGGTTAACCGCAGGGGGCATAATGAAAATCAAAATCAACCCAAGGCTGATAGATCTGAGGTGGAAGTCTAATCTTTCCAGCAGTTCTGACTCGAGTCATCCATCCCAGAACACTACTTGGTAAGCCACTGCTCACGGTCACAGGTCCTACTTACATTTAAATGATTAAAGAAGTAGCAGGGAACTCAGGACCAGCAAGCATGTAGGCAGCCTACCTTAAATGTAGGGCAGCTTTCTCAGCTCCTGTGGGAGTCCTGGTGTGGTGCTGTGGGGTTAATGTACTGGAGTGCAAAACAAGTTAAGCATTTCAAGCTCACCAGCTGTTTCTCAGAAACCCTATACAGGGTGGCAGTGGATCAGAACTGACTCAATGGCACTTAATAACAACATGAGCTGTTCAGGCCTCCTTTCAGTCCCCCAAGGGCAGGTTTCCATCTGTCACTGATGGCACTGCCACTGGCTCCCTCATGGACCCATTACCATCTTCAGTGTCACAGTCCTTGACCTTTGTTGAAAAACTTGCAAGAGGCTCCATGCCTCCTCTGATGCATTCCCTTCTTCTGTCAGAAAAACTTCTTTGGAGTGGGCTGCTCATGTACACAACTCCTTTATCAAGTTCAAGGCAGAAAGAGCCAAGCTTATCATCGTCTGGGTAGCCCACAGACACTTCATTTGCTTTAACTACTTTATTTGCCAAGTCTATTGGGCAATCCCTGCAAAGCATATACAAATCAAAGGGCAAGCTACATCCAGGACCAAAAAGTATCAATTGAATTGTTTACAATTTACCCAGGAAATGTCAATCTGGTAAAACTAATGTATCCTCTGGGAAGAAAACTAGGAAAAAGGCAACTCCTTGGAAATTGGGGTATAACTCAAACTGTTTCCAAAGAACAAAGACACTCATTTCACAGCTGTGATCTTTACTTTCCCTGACTTACTGGCTAGTCTATTCACATTCTAGAGTCTACTTAAGGCCTACACACTTTCATTCTTATTATAAGATGCTCTGAATAACTTTCCACTGGAATGTCCAAATTCTGACAAGCCCCAGAAGCCATCATTATAAAATTCAGTCACATAAAAATAGTTTCTGCCATTATAAAGAGACAGATGACAATGGGAGGGAAATATTTAAAGCTCACTGCAGGGCTCCTGGCAAGTTAGTTAAGAGGACCAAATCCAATAGAAAATGGACACCAGAGTCAACAAGATTGGGACTGGGAAACAATACTCTTCAGAAAACAAAGGGGAAAAAAGGAAACCTACAGAAGAAAGACCCTTCAGTAAGGCATATATTTGAATGTCTAAGCTTAAAAATAAAGTTATCAACATTATCATCTGGGAAGTTTAAACTTGAAACCATTACAAACATAACAGCTAACATAAAAAATTGACAACTAAAAGGGGAGAGTAGTTAGAATCTTTCATTCCAGAGACAATCCCAGGACCATCATGAAGGAAAAGGATGAGCAGAACATGAGATCTTACCTAGAAAAACAACAGCAGACAGTGGGAGGCAAAGGCATTACAAGGACACAGAGAAGCTACAGGCTCTAGGCGCACGGACTGAGTTAGGCCGTGCACCTCAGGAAGAGGCTGGTTTACAGAATGTGCCCTTTGGACAGTGAATTTATTTTGCTCATTTGTGAAATATAAAATGTCAATAGGGAGCCTTAGGGAGGAAGTAGGATAACTTGTTGCAGGGAGAGAATTTGTTGAACATAAAGCTGATGATCTTGTCTGCAAACCTTCACTCAATTCAGTGTTAAAAAATTTTCACACCACCAAAATGTTGGTAAGACTGTGGATCTACTGGAATTCTCAAATACCATTTATGGAAATGTGTTAACAGGCTGGTATTAGGAGAAAAGACATGTCAATTTCTTTGAACAGGCTCTTCCCAATTCAGTCAGAGCCAACGATACGTAACCAAAGTAGACATGAATTTGTAAAATGTGGGTACATAACAGAAATGAGAAAAATTTCATTTCAGCCACCCACCTGCTAGCAATGTAATCCTCCCTCACAGAAAACAAAGACAGCATGTGTGCTATACAGCAGTCGTATCGACCTGTAGTTGGAAAGAACAGTGCCCTGGTTCAGATATACAACAAACCGTGCCGCTTCCAACATGTTGCTCTCCGTAATTCAATCTGGCACACCAGGCTTCTGAAAAGGGTTACTACACTTCTTCCAAGGCTCCCATTCTAGGGCTGTAACCTATGAAATCTCCCATTCTATTTACGTGGTCCACTTCACCCAAATTTCAAAAATTAAGGCCTGTTCGGATTATGCTTCTTCAGCCATGATTGAACCAGTTTGAGATGGTTTGAAGCTTTGAAATAGACCAGTCCTATAACAAAGGAATGCTGGTGTGGCGGGCGTTGCAGGACAAGCACTGGGCTGCTGTCAAGTTCAGTGGTTCAAATCCACCAGTCGCTCCTTGGAAACCCTATACAAGGTTGGAATGAGTCAGAACATGCTCAATGGCACTTAACAAAATAATTCAGGATGTTTTTATACTAAGTACTTGCCCAGAAGGAATTAAGATGTATGTATGTCCACAAAAAAACTTTGCACAAGATGTTCACATTAGCTTTATTCATAATAGCCAAAACCTAGAAACAGCCAAATTGTCCATTAACAGGTTAAAACTTAAACCCTAGCATACAGTGGCCTACTACTAAGTGTAAAGCAACAAACAGCTGAAACACAAGGACTCTCAAAACATGCCGAGTGATAGAAATCTTACAGTAAGACTACATACCATATGGTTTAATTTATATGAGGTTCTAGGATAGGTGAAGCTAATCTTTGGTGAATTAAATTTTACCAGTGGTTGCCTGTGAGGGAAAGGGCCGAGATGACAAGGGAAGTGCAAGAATTAAGTGGATGAAGACATTTTCTGACATGATGAACTATTTCAGATTGCCAGGGACTTGGGTTAGAGTTGTACATCAAAATTCACCACATAGAATACTTAGTATTTCTTCACTTCAAGGGGAAAAAAAACTCCTCTGGTTAATGATATTCTGAAAAGATTAACAGTCATGTATAGATGTCTATAACTTGAAGAGATGCATGAAGAAAATGCATTAAAAAATTACAGGAAAATATTTATTGTACAACCTAGGTAATGCATCTAGGAATGTTTGCAATTAATCTTTCTGTATGCTTTATGTGTGACCCGTTATTTTGGACCCTGATTCAAATACACTTAAAAATAAAGACATTAGACATTTGTTATGAATTAGTACTTTTAGGAAGTATTTTTAAAGTCCAGGGTGGCGCTGGGGTTAATGTGCTGGGCTTGGGCTGCAAGGCTGGTTTAAACCACAGGGTCAGTGATTCAAGCTCACCAGCCACTCTTTGACTCTATACAGGGTTGCTATGAGTTGGAACAGACTCGTCGGCACTTAACAACAATTTTTAAAGCCTTTTTAAAAAGAGATGTATACTGAAGTACTCACAGATAAAAAATAATACTCTTTTCATACTTGCTTTAAGTTATGAGGAAAATTAAGTGCATGTGGACAAACACAGACAAAACAAGGCTGACTGTAACCCAGTAATTGTTCATGGTTGTATGTTTGTCAAACTTCCCTAGTTTGTATTCTGTAATTTTATGTAATAAATTATTTTAAAGGAAAAGAAAAATAGCTATGGAGATTTGTTGTTGTTGTTATGTGCCATCGAGTCGGTTCCGACCCATAGCGACCCTGTATAGGGTTTCCGAGGGTGTAAATCTTTACGGGAGTAGAAAGCCTCACCTTTCTCCCGCAGAGCGGCTGGTAGTTTCGAACCGCTGACCTTAAGGTTCGCAGCCCGATTCGTAACCACTACGCTACCAGAGCTCCTTAGCTATGAAGATAGTTCACAGAAAAAGAAATCCCAAATCTCTGAAACATGAAACAATGCTATCTCATGAGAAAATACATTTAAATAATATAACCTCTCACACTGAATAGACTGAGAATACATTATTAATGGCAAGGCTGCAGGGAAATGGATATTACTAGGGGCAAACTATAGAAAGCTATGTAACAATTTAAGGTATAAATATAATTTTAGATATAAGTCATAAATGCACATACTCTGACCACTTTGGGGAATTTACCCTAAGAGGAATTTATGTATGTAACAAAATGATACACATGGGGTTTCAAAAAGTTTGTGGAAATACTCCATCATCTTTTAATCCATTTTTTTCCCACAAACTTTTTAAAGCTTCCCTGGATATATACATTTATACAAAGTATTTAATTTTACCATTAAAATAGCAAAAGACTGAAAAGAGTTTACTATTCATCTGTAAGGGGCATACTAAGTTGCATACATTCATAATATACAATCATTTAAAATGCATGAGAAAGGATTTTTTATATGCTAGTAAAGAATGATATTTAGAATCCATTAAGTGGGAAAGAAAACAGCATGTATGTTTAATTTATATTAAAAATGAAAATAGATTTTAAGCCTTTATTTTATACACATGAAATGTTAGAAGCTGACAGGGTGCCTGGAATTTAATGTATATAAAAAAACTACTAAGGGGAGGAGAAGAGGAACTGAGTGGCTGAAATAAAGAAGTAAAGGACAGGAGTGAAACTTTTCAAGTATACTCCTTCAATTTCATTTCCTTCAAAAAATAAAATATAAACCTTTAAAAGTATCCTACTATTCTTTATTTTGGAGTCCTGGTGTGATGCTACAGGATAAGCATCTCAAGGTTGGTATATACTGCAAGGTTAGCGGCTCAAACTCACCAGCAGCTCCTCACTCACCCGGAAACCCTATACAGGATTACTATGACTCGGGATTGACTTGACAACGCCTACCATTCTTTATTTTGAAACCATGGGGTGGAGCTGTAGCATAGATAACGCACTACTAACCACAAGGTCAGCTGTTCAACCCCACCAGTCGCTCCTCAGAAACCCTATACAGGGTTGCTATGAGTCGAAACCAACTCCACAGCACCTAGCAATTCTTGATTTTATATTATCAAAGCTTAAGAATAAAACTAAGCCTTCTTACAGACAGACGTTAAGAGATTATTTCCTAATCTGCTAAATTCAGGTGGAAAGTATATTTCTACTGTATTAGAGCAATTTGATTTTTTCAAAGTTTCTAGAACTAGGCCTGCATCTGCTTTACTGCTAAAAATGTGCTTTTACTCTATAGTGCAACACCTACCTATTAAATGTGAATCTCTTCGTTTATTTTAGGGAAAACACTCAAAATAATGGAGTGTGTTTAATAAGAACAGGATGTAATCAGAGAAAAAGAAATATCCAACCAAGAATATGCTAAGATGACTTAGGTGGTGGATGCCATTTTGGCATATTTGCTAATAAGTAGTCACTGAATAAAAATGTCAGCTAGGTAGAACTGGCTTTCTTCTTCAGCTTTGGTAACTCAGGCACAGAGAGACAAACATGTTGGCTTCCTGGTTTTTTTTAATTGGTGAATATATCAGATCAGCCTATAATTTTTTACATTTTCTTCTTTGGTATCTATATACATTATCTGCATTCTCCCTAGCAGTTCTTTGAAAAACAGGTAGAACAGAGCAGAATACGGATACTCTGAATATATATTCATCTCCACCAGCTGCTCCTCGGAAATCCTATGAAGAATCGCAATGAGTCGGAACCGCCTTGATGGTACTAACAACTACCACCACCACCACCAAGTTATAAAACGAGGGAAATTTACTGTCATTACTTCCTCCAATAGCAAACGGTGATGCATAACTCAGTTTTGCGAGTTACAGAAAACACAGTCTTCTAATTTGACTTCTGTTGACTGTATTATGTGTTTTTATACTTCTATCCCTCAGTAATAGTTTACCTTGTCAGCAATCATTCATTTACTAGCCTACATTACAGTAACTGAATTGTATATGTGTGTATATACTAAACATACTGAGTATACTGTAAATAGTATATGATGACACAATTTCCCAGAAACCAGCCATCTTTTGTACTAAGAACTCAACCATTAGCATGGCATGAAGTTACAGCCCTTCAAGCACTTCAATGTTTTGCTCTTCTTTTTCCAGAGAAAATGAATGTAAAATAATATAAATGAATTAATTCCTCATCAAACCCACTGGCTCCTAGAGATTTTTTACACAGAAAATTAAATGCCTACTACTTAAAGAAGAGAAACAAATCACATTTTAATAGGTCATATTCATACAACTATGGACATTTCTCAAAACGAGGTACACTCAACCACATATGAACACATTACCATCTAAGGAAGATATTAAGCTGGTTGATTAAATCATGTTCTTACAGGTTTTTATTTTTGCTTTTTAACTACTTAACTGAAAATTAACCGTTTATGTTAATACTCCAGGACTTGACATAATAAAAATATACTCAGTTAACTCACACACTCCAATAATAAATACTCTTAAGTAATTCTTCATCCTAAAACAAGTTTTCAATTTATTAACTACTTACAGTACAGTGATTTCATATCTTAGCTGGTAATCAAAGATGGTTATGTATTAAGAGAGAGAAGACAACCTCTCCTCTTCCAGATGTCATCTCTCAGAAATATGGGCTAATTCATTTTTAGCAACTAGAATTGCATCTCCTGGTAACTACATGGCAGTCGTCACCCTGAGAACAGGAACAAGGCAAAGAAAGTATACAGGACTTTAATTCTCCTAGACAGGTGTACATGGTTGGTTTATTAATGACTACATTTTTGAAGCCAGCAATTTTGACCCAATATTTAAATAACAAGCTGTTAATATTAAAGCAGAAAGTACTGCCACAATGTGACAGAAATACAGCTTTACTCAGTATCCCTCCACACAATTATACATTAAATGCTATTTTTATTTAAACAAGGCACCCCTACCTGTTCTAAAATATGGGATGTGCTACCCCATTGAAAAAAGCAAATGAGATTTAGATTTTTTCCTATTTAGAGCTGGTTTAAATTCAAGTGAAGCCATTAATGTCCTTAGAAGTCTGGACTGTTTTGACATGTCACTTCACAGTTTTGAGACTAACACATTCTAAAGGTTTACCCAAAACATTAAAAGAAAAAGGGGGAAAAAAAGCAAGGGGGTGTGGGCTGTTTCAGACAAATCGTAAGACTAAAATTCCCTCCATAAGTAGACAGACACTAAATACCTTTAGCATAAGGTTTAAGAAGGTAAAACATTTCTAAAGGCATAAAACGCTTGCCAAATTATTGTCATTTCCACATTGTTGTTTTCATTTTGCTAACTCCTAGTCTTATGAAAGTAATCATACACACTTAAAATTAAAATTACCACGCCCCCACCACCACCCCACACCAGTCCAAAGGTCTGAAACCTTGCCTTGCTCTGGTGAGTGTTTGGTTAAAATAAATCATCAGTAACATTCCATGAGAAACTTCAAACCAAGAGTTTTACATCAGAGCTCTCAACTCATAGGCAAAAAACACAACTTTAAACTGATTATTTTTTAAATGGGAAAAGGGTTTTAAAGAATAGTACTGAATAAAAACATGTAGTCTTTACACTGGGTAATACGCTCTATGAATACAATGATCACATAAAATAAAGACCAGATTTTTAAAATCAGATCCTAGAATTTAAACAAAAAAATTAATTTGTGGTTTATTTCATAATCCCAAACTGAATCTTTCCTTTCTCTTCCTAAACAGTCCACTATGGAATTTTTCTTAGAAGCAATTTACCCCCAAACCCAAAATCTTTTCTCTAGCAGTTGCTGCTAATAAACTGGAACTTTGTATCCCATGTCCAAGAAAGATGTGCAAATGAAATGCTTCTTGATTCATCCTAGAAATAAAAAAAAAAAAAGTACATTTGTTCAAAGTGAAAAAAATATATACTCCCCTAAGATGTAAAATGACAAATTTGGTATTTCTTTTTCTGATTAAGTACAAGTAAGGTGACAATCAATTAATGTAAGGATAACTAGTTATACATTAGTATTTCTATCTTGATATGAAGACAGTAAATTTTCAGAGTTGAACACAGAATATACTTTATAGATTTTAGCTGATAGAAATGTTCAACACTACAGGACTGTGTCTCAAAGGAATGTATCCACTACATATACAAAATGATTACAATATTTTAAAATAGTTTATGGGAGAGAAAAAAAAAAAAAAAAGACTGTTTAACATTATTAAGTCAAGAGTAAGGACCATCAAGACATATTTAGCAAAGTTTTCAGTTAAAACTATGAAATTATGTACTTCACAAACCACCCTCTTTTTAAATACTATTTAATGTATCATCTTAAACACTTTTAAAGTATCTCAAATAAAAAATTCATCTACGCTTTAGTGGGAAAAGTTATTGTGAGACACGTTTTCAGTGTATTATCACTTACAGCTAAAAAAGAGAAACATTAGGCACACAGTATGATGAATGTTAGGAATACAAAAGGACTATAGAGATAATAAAGAGCGCTGGTGGCACTGTAGGATAAGCATTAGACTGCTAAATAACTACAATATTGGCAGTTCAAACCCACTGCGCCTATAAAGATTTACAGTGTTGGAAACCCTATACAGGGCTGCTATGAGACGAAAATGACTTGGAGACACTTAGCAACAACATAGAGATAATACTCAAAGTCACCGCACAATTATATTGAAGTCTACTTTCCAGGTGAGTTTTTATTCCTTATATACCAATGCTTCATTGTCATTAGTTTGATCTTTATAATAAAAAAAAAAAAAAAAAAAAGAGAATTGTTTCTATAATGTTATGTAATAGAGTCAAAGATTACCATCTGTTGGTAACAATCCAGACATCTGTACCTCTTAAATTTACCTTATTTGGAGTCTCTGGAAGTCTTATTTTCCTTTTGGACATGAATTCAAGAACAGTTCAATATATCTATGGTCTGAGGATGACAAATCAGCAAACAAAAATGTTAGTTTTTAAAAAGGGAAGCCAGAAAAAATACTGGAACTGTTTATCTCATAATTCAGGCAACAACAAAAATCCTTTGCCTCTTTTTTTCCCTAACTAAAAAGAATAAAATAAACCTATCTAACTCTGGATCAAAATATGCAGGAAAATTTACAAAAAAATTAAATGCTTTTCATTATAATACAGTATTTTCCCTTCCTTCTTTACATTTAATTTTAGTTTTATTTTAAAAATATAGTTATCACAGTCTAGGCAAATGCCAAAGATGAAGGTGTTTATAGGCAAAGACAGGCATCAAAAATGACAATGAAAACTGGGCGGTACTTACGAACATGGGACCGATCCTTGAGCATAGCTGCAACAGCATCCTCATGGGTATCGAAGTGCACATCAGCTTCTCCAGTAGCCTTCCCACTGGAACTGTATTCCATGGTGATTCTAACAGGCTTCAGTGGAGCAAAAAACTAAACAATGAACAAAGGAAGTAAAAATGAACACAATGGAGTCACATCCACAGTCTTTGTAGAATTTGCATTTTTCCTGTTTTTGATTCACTTAGCTGATAAATTTATTTTGAGGAAATCGCCTCCTTAAGCAACAAAGTATTACATATTTGCCATCTCTTCTGCCTTTTCCAATTTTGCCCAAACTTAAGGTTGGTTACATTTCATATATATATTCAGAGAGAACTAAAAGCTCTAAGTATAATCACCATACAAATGGTTCACTAACTTTTTTTTTGAAGACTATTGACCAATTTTATTATTCTGCCAACACACATCCTTCCTTGCTTACAAAGAGTGTCCATCAAATGTACTTTTTGTTTTTACTATTTTTTAATCAGATATGTGGGTTTCATTATCAGTACTACATAAACAAAGCCACCAAACTGTGTTATTTTCAAAGCAACAGAATACAATAATGTGACTCTACAGCTTCACCTGGGTAGAGATGTGATTTCTATTAGCCTATTCCTATTCCTATTATAATAATGAACACAGCTTTGAATTCCCATTATTAAATACAGATTCCATTTTAAAAACACCTTTAAATATAGGCTCACAATTTCATAAAGTCAACTAAGGACTTTATTATTGACTTTTTCATTTCACACAATATATATATATTTAAAATTCCTTTTCTCAAAAACTAAGGAATCCTGACACATGGTCTAATGAAAGTTCTAGACTTGACATTTAGAAGAAATGGATTACTGTCTAGACTATAACTGCTATTTGAGTCTTAGTTTCCTAAATAAAAAATGATTAGACTGAACCAACTTATTACAAAGCAACCTTCCTTACTTTGAACACCAAACCTACCCATATTATTTGGTGGCGAAAAAATCCTATCCTTTACCGACCTTAAAACTTATTAATGAAACCTATTGAGATTAGACATCTTACTGCCACACACATTTATAATGTCTTGGGCATTTGCTTGGAAAGGCAGTCCTCTCATGTGAACAAAATGTAGTGAAGGCGTAGTTCCAAAATCAACAGCTTCCGGAAGTTTTTCTGACATCTCCTTAGGCAATTCTGAAAGTCAAGAAACAAGAACTTCAAATGTTACTAACTAACAGTTTATAGTTAGGTATATGGCCTTTATGTCAAAATCCTCAATCCATCTTGGTGGGTGGTAGTTGTATGACATCGAGTGGGTTCCAACTCTTATCAATACTGCATAAGGTTTTCAAGGCTGTAAATCTTTACGGGCTCACCTTTCTCCCATGGAGTAGCTGGTGAGTTCCAACTGCAGACACTGTGGTTAGTATCCAGTGCTCATCCTACAGAGCCACCAAACTCAATACATGCATGATATTGCTGCACACCCAAAACTATTTAGTGCCTCAAACTATCACCAAATTAATCACACTTTTTTCTTCCTAACAGTATACATAAAATTAAATGACTATGAATGAAACCTTAAAAGCATGAGAAACGTTCTGGGTTACTGTTGTCAAGTGTCATCAAGTCAGTTCCAACATGACTCCCTATACAAAACTCACAATCTTAGTTGTTGTTAAGTTCTGCAAAGTTGGTTCTAACCCATAGCGACCTTGTACAGGGTTTCCGAGGCTGTCAATCTTTACGGGAGCAGAAAGCCTCATCTTTCTCCCGCAGAGCGACTGGTAGTTTCGAACTGCTGACCTTAAGGTTTGCAGCCCAATTTGTAACCACTGCGCTACCAGAGCTTAGTTATAGACACTAAAAACCCTTCTGAATAAATTCAAAGAACATACTACACTCAAAAAACACGCACACCAGCTGCCATCCAATTGAGACTCATGGATACCTCCATAAATGCAAAGTAGAACAGCACTGATAGGGTTTTCAAGGCTATGACCGTTCCAAAACAGTCTGCATGGGTTTGAACAGCCAACTTTTCAGTTAGCAGTGGAGGGCTTAACCATTTGTACCACCGAGGAACCATCATACATTAAAAACTCAGACATATTAAATCTTTCTTTTGTAATTCAAATTATAATCTTACAATTTCATGCAAAATGGTCATTAAAAATATTATTGTAATAAACATCAAAGCTTTACAAGACCCAGTGAGCCTCAAGAAGAAGCACATCCTTACCTATTTCCTTCTCACTTTCAAAAGCTGTCATGGGTCGAATATCCTCATTTATTTCATGCTCTTCAAAGACCATTTCTGGCTCAGTTATATATTTAGCAGTAGGAGAAGATGCCATTTTTTTTCCCTTATGAGAACCAACATGCGTTCGAACTTCATTCCTTCTGCTTGGAAATATTTCTATATATCTATGTCAAAGAAAAAGTGAACAATCACAAATGATGGACAGTAACTTTGAAACCATCTGAAACAAACACATGCCAACAACTTATGAAACACAGATGCCCAAAGATAACAGGTGGGAGAGAGGGGTGTAATACAAGAATTGACATATTAGCCTATAAAAAAAAACATTCTTACTAGTCACTGATTTAACCATCCCCAAGATAATAATTCTCTTCATATACATTTAACAAGAAGACAACTATGCTAAGATTAACTGTGTATGTAGAATAGACTTAACCTGGTGAGAAGGGTTTTTCTTTTTATACTTGGTTAACTACTTCTGGAAGCTTTGTAGTTCAATTCTGTGAAAAGTGATCTAGCCAGTATGTTAAATATTATCATAATAATAATCACAGTATTTGAAGATGAACTTTCCCAAAAATCTCACTAAGCATCTGATGAAAATTTAAGAACTGCATGTCAATTCTGACTTGCTATCACAGTGGCAGTAGGACTACTTATCAAATCCAAGTTTCTGAAGTGTTTAACAACGCTGCTTTTCCACACTAGGTTTTTAAAAACGAGCAGAAAAAATCCTTTGTCTTTTCAGACCTATAAAGATTAGAGTGCTGGTTTCACGCTGTCGGATGTGCACTGTACTAATAATCACAAGGTCAGCGGTTCAACCCCACCACTGTCTCCTCAGAAACCCTACACAGGGTCGCTATGAGTTCGAACTTACTCGATTAATGACACTTAACAACACAAAGACTAAAAGGGAATCAAATCTCTATTAAAGACATTTGTACACTACTTTAATGTTCCCACATAAAAGCATAACACCAGTGTGTTTCAAAATATATAAAAAAAATGAAGTGTGCTAGAAAAATGTACGGGGGGCTTTGAGTTGGAGTTGTGTGTATGGAGTATTTTGTATATACTTTCTTCAACTAATAAAACTCAATGAAGACATTTTAACCAGCTTTTAAAATAGACCCAGAAACACACGGTTTTAAAGTACAATCTTTCTTTTTTTATTTCTTCTTCTTCAAAGTAGTTGAAAAAAAGCCAATAAACAGCAAAACAATGATTTAAAATTTAACACTATTCTGACTACATCTCCAAAAATGTTAATAAACCATTAATTTGAACCAAAAAAAAAAAAAATTAGAAGCATCATCCTGATGTGGTATGATAAAATTTTGAACTGCTTCAGTCATGGCTGATGAAGTGAAACGAGACTAAAGCTGAATTTGTAAAATTATGGATGAACTGGGACAATAATTGGTATGGGAAACCTACGGGTTGGTAGTTACCCTGCTAGAAACTTGATCTCCCTCTAGAAAACACGGGCAGCACTGCTAAGCAACCAAATCTCTTGACCAGCATAGTAGGAAATAGAGGTACCCAACTCAAAGATGCTTTGAATATATGTTGCTCTCCACAGTCCTGGCAATAATCCAATCCCTTGCCATCAGGCTCCTGAAAGGGCTCACTACACTTCTTCCTAGTCTCCCAGTCCAGGATTTCCATCCATAATTTTCCCCATTCTGTTTATCCTTGAGCTTTACCAAATTTAAAAAAATCCAGATCTGCTCCAATTTTGCTCTGTTAGCCATGAATGAACTGGTTCGAACACCTGAATGTAATATGCAGTACAAAGCATCACCTGGGAGTCCTGGTGTGCCACTGCAGGATAATACACCAAACCACAAGGTTGGCAGTTCAAACCCACCTACCACTCTTCGAAAATCCTATACAGAGCTCCTGTGGGTTGGAAGCAACTCTACAGCACTTAACAATAACAAAACATAGAGTAACGTATTAAAATGTTAACCTGAACCAATTCAAAAAGTCAGCTCTAACTTCCAGTTTCCAGGAAACAATAAAGGTGAAGGGGGTTTGCTCTAATTTAAGAGAACCAAAGATAAGCAATCAAAGGCAATGTTTTAGACATGTCTGGATTCTGGTTCAAACAAATGAACTGTAAAAAGCCATTTGAAGGGGATAACTGACAAAATGTGATTATAGACTGGCATTGAATACTACAAAATTATTGCCAATTTTGTTAAAATGTAGCAATGATACTGAGATTATATAAGAACATGCATTTTTGAAAAAAGATGTACACTGAAAAAAATAGATGAAGGAAATATAAAATGTTAATAATTTGTCCATCCAAGTGATGGGCTCACCATGCTAATCTCTATTCATGCTTGGAAACTTTTACATTCATATTACAATGTTGTTGTTGTTAAGTGTCTTCAAGTCAGTTCCAACCCTGTATAGGGTTTCCGAGGAGCAGCTAGTGGGTTTGAACCGCTGACCTTGCAGTCCAGCGTATTATCCGATATTGCTACACCAGAACATTCATCAAAATGCCATTATGTGTGATATTTCTATATCATCAGTATCTGCTCCACTCACCGGTTACCAATTTCTTCCCTGTGTTTTAACAAAGCTTGGCTGGCCATTTCTGGTTCTTCAAATTGAACATACGCTTCCCCCGTTTTTCTTCTCCCTCTGTAGTCCATGACAAAAGTAATGTCTACTATATTCAGTCCTAGGGCACCAAAACAGTATTATAAATAAGTGTTACCAACAGGAGCTTTTCCCGCACTATCAGCACATCCACTCTTAATAATAATAAAAATTGTATGCTACTTTGTCCATCCCCTCCTCCCCTCACAAAAAAGAAATAAGATACATAGTGAATGAGATGAAAATTATTGTGCAGCCAAAAGCTAACAATACTACACACCTGTATTTCCAGAATGAACAGAAGCAATCCTATCTAAAACACCCATCTCTCATCTTTTCTGTTTTGGGGTCATTAATTATAATAGGGAACAACTGAGATTTAGAATGAGATCATAATTAGGGATGTACATTTTACAGCTAGAAACTGGATACTTTTACATTAAATAAAATGCTACTGGCTTAGACAAATACGACCACTATTAAGATCAAAATAATTTAATAGTAAAATAAACCCAGTTTTGAAATTTGCTATTCTCCAAAGATCTAACAGATAAAAACTTTTATATAATCCATAGTATGGAAATATCAAGAGGTCTCCTCTAAAGAGCCTAATATAACCCTAAACTGTTACCTAGAAAAAGATCATCTAAAGTACAGAAAAGAGAGATAGGGAAAGGAAATGAGGTCCAAGCATGTGTAAATTTAAAAGCACCTGCGAAGAAGTCTATAATGTCTTTCTCATTGCAACTGTAAGGAAGTCCTCTCAAACGGACCACACCATCATTTACTACAGGTGATGATTTGACTTGTAAGCTCTTCATTAAAGCATCCACATCTTCATTATTTATCTCATACACTACAATGAAAAAGCACAAAAGATCAAAGATAGACCCTAATTAAAAAAAAAAAAAAAATCAAATATATATTGTTAGCAATCAAATGAAAGCACTCTTGAATGTATAAAGTGTTCATACAACAACCCCGAAAAGCCAGGTTCTGGCTTCACGTACCTTCCACATATCGCTGACCCATGTACATGCGGTGCTTCTCTAAGGCTTTCTGCACATCCTGCTCTGACTCCATTTCAATTAAGGCATCGCCCCTTCGTTTCCCATCTCTATTTAGGAGGAAATGTATTCCATTCTCACTATTGCGGATTCTGCAGTCTATCGACAAAATCAAGGAAAAGCATAATTCAAACTTTTAGCTCAATAATATAAATCACTAAGAATGAAATTTTCCAAAAGGAAAATAAAGCATGAACCAAAATTCATAATTGTTTTTATACAAATCTCTATCACTATAGTCATCAAAAGTTAATGATGTGGTTAAGTCCCTAAAATGTTCCAAGTGAGAAAGATAAGCCAATCTTAACATGGTAAAAGTATGATCTCCTAAACTTTAAAACAAAATGCATTATTCCAGCCCAATTATTTCTAAGTTTCAAATCACTTAAAAAACTAAGATATGGTTAAGGTTTATGCATAGCTGTCTTTTTCTGTTAAAAAATCATACCCATAAAAATGCTAATATCTCCTGTAAGAACAATTTTATTATAATTTAACTTCCCCTGTTTTCATTTGCAAGGAAAGACATCTCTTATAATAGAAGTTCTTTGAAGATGTTAAGTGCCTTAATAAAACATTTGATTTGTACAATGCTATGCATATTAAGGTATTTAATATACTCAGTAAAGTCCTTTTTTTTTTTTACATTTTAAGACACCATCTTCTAAAAGCTTCTTAAAAAGAAAAAAAAAAAAAAAAGTCAGATACAAAAACTAAAAAAAAAAAACCAACCAACCACAGATTAGTAAACCTTCTAAACATGGTATTGTTGTTATGTGCCACCGAGCTGGTTCTGACTCATAGACTCTGTGGAACTTTACTATAGCAGAAAGCCTCATCTTTCTCCCAGAGAGGCTGGTGTGCTCAAACTACCGACTGACCCTGTGGTTAGCAGTCCAGTGCTTACTCTTCAGCACTCCCCAATATGTTATTAAGGGGAACTTTATTACTTGACACTTACTTTATAGTTAGTTTATTACTTGACTTTATATGAGGAAAACTTCCATTATCTTTTAATTCCATTTTCCCACAAACTTTTGAAGCTTCCTCATATATATTACATATATATTACATCAATCCCTATTTCCACTTATAGGTTTAGCTTTTACATACGTACATATTAAAATTTCAAAGAAATACTATGTAATTTTAACATATACTTTAGTTGCACTCATTCTTGTCCTGATGTGGTGCTGTGAGTTAATGCACTAAACTGCAAAGTCAGTGTGAACCTCAAGGTCGGCAGTTCAAGGTCATCAGCAGCTCCTCGGAAACCCTATACAGAGTTGCTATGGGTTGGAATCAACTCAATAACACATAACAGCAACAACACTACAAATGGTACTACACATGATGTCACTTAATATATATATATAACCAGCTGGAATGAGATGATTACCAACAATCAAATAGGATCTACAGTATTAGCCTGACATGGATTTGTGGATGTGTCTTTCACTCAGATAAAATACATATTTAAACTATACATAAAATATACCTGAGAAAAAGTTCAGGACATCTTCGACAGTGCATGACCAGGGCAATCCTTGAGCTCGAATGAGATAAACATCATCCACTTCCTCTCCTAACTTGGATGGAGCCAGCTCATACTCCGGGAGTGGTGGAAGATCTTCCAGGTAGGTCGTTTTGGACTCCTTCCAAGATAAATGAAGAAATGTGGAAATATCTCTTTAACAACATAGAAATATTTATTTCCATAGACTAATGCCCTAAATGTTATTCTTTGGAAAAAAAATAAACCAGTTGAATAAATCCTGACTCATGGCACCCAGTATGTTACAAAATATTAACTGCTATGTAATGTTTTCTTGGTTGCAATTTTTACAGACTGTTATTAAGTACATACAGGGCCATTATGAGTTGGAACTGGCTTGACAGCATTTAACAACAAACAATAACAAATCTTTATGGAAGCAGAAAACCAGGTCTTTCTTTTGCTGTGCCACTGGGGAGGTTCAAACTATTATTTCAGAAGTGAGATGTAACCTTCACAAATCTAACTCACTCTGTTTGGGCCAGGTCTCTAATCCTAAATCCTAATGATTTGGCAGTTCATAGATTTTATACAGGATCTGAGATCATCAGTCCCGCATTAACCTAATGATAATGCTTTAGTTAAGACACAAAAAGGGGTCCCTTCAACTTGACAAAATATTGGAGTGCCTTAAATGGATAGGAGCTCTGGTAGTGTAGTGGTTACAAATTGGACTGCTAACCTCAAGGTCAGCAGTTCTAAACTACCAGTCGTTCCGCAGGATAAAGATGAGGCTTTCTGCTCTCGTAAGGATTTACAGCCTCAGAAATCCTGTGCAGGATCACTGGGTGGGAACCGACTCCACGGTACTTAACAACAACATACTGCCATCAAATAGATCCTGACTCACAGAGACCCCATATGACAGTAGAACTGCTCCTTAGCTTCCAAAAGCAGAGTCCTGGTTGGTAGGCTTGTGGCTAAAAACTCAATGAGTAAAGAATCACACATGAGATGGGCCCAGAATCAAGGAGAGCATTCTGAATTATTGTCGTTAAGTGCTGTCGAGTCAGTTCCAACTCACAGTTACTCTGTAGGGTTACTGAGTGGCTAGTGAGTTGAACTGCCAACCTGTGGTTCAAACCAATCTTGCGGTCCTACAATGTCATAGAGTATTCCAACTTGAGAGATGAAGGAAAGACGCAGTTTACAAAGGTCCCTTGAACAAACAGCTATAATCTCAGCTAGCTCAACTGTAGGGTGCAATTAAGAAGAGCCAAAGAAAGCAAGCTGACAGAAAGAACTTGCTTCCATAGAGCAGCGGACCTTGAGTGTTAAACTGAGTGTTCTTAACTTGGTAGGCAAAGGAGTGGGTACATTTTTAAAAAGCAAAAAAACCAGCAGGATGCCTTGAAAATTTTCATCTGTCAACTGGTTTATCAACCCTGACTAAACAAAAGATAGCTCTGAAACGAGTTTAGTAAGAGAAGCCTGAGTAATACCTAAGGAACACTGTCTCCAAAAGTAAGCAAAAACTGGATTTAATAACAATCTAACAAGCATTACAACCATCAACCAGGGAAGACAACTCAGGTTATTAACATTTGCACTCAATTGCGATAAAAGACAGAAATGCTACAGTCCATTTGAACCCTCCCATCATTTGCATGAAGCCTTACATATAATTTGAGTCAGTAAATATTAACACAGCGTCTAACATGTAGTAGACGCTCAAAAAATACCTTTACAGTCAATTTCACAGGGGGAAAAAAATTCGATCAAAGCGAGCTCACCAAGGCTTATCAGAAACGGTTTTATAAAAATTTTTAAAAAGGCAACTCTCCCAGAATTCCAAAAGCAGTACAAGTTTTAACAGAAAGTGCTGGTGGTTATGTGCCATGGAGTTGATTCCGACCCTGTATAGGATTTCCGAGGCTGTAAATCTTTTACGGGAGCAGAAAGCCTCATCTTTCTCTCGGGACCCGCTGGTTCTTTCGAATTGCTGACTTTGAGATTAGCAGCCCGACTTGTAACCACTATGTAACCACAGAGCTCCTTTACTAAATAGGTAGGAAAAAAGTATTAGCCAAGAGTAAAATCATTTAGCTCAGTCACAGGCAGACAGTAGTCATGCTGATTAGTTTCCCAGTTTCCTTAAAGTTCAAAGAGAAGTACAAATTGAATTAAAAAAAAATAATAAGATCCGAGACATCAGGGCCTGGGAAGCCAAAAAAGTATGCAGACACTTCCCAGACGCCACGTAAACAGTGGAAAAGAAAGCTTCCTACAAGGCAAAAAATACTTGCAATCTGAGTTCTTCAAGTACACACTGACTACAATTTAAAAAGGAGAGAAAACATTGTAGTTCACTCCTGAGTCCTCAAATTGTGGCTTTAGCCCTAGATATCCCCTTCGTTTGCCCTTCCCCAGTCCGGCGTATCAGTCCCAAACTGTTTTCCCTCTTGGAGGGTGATCCACGGATGGTCCTGTCAGAGGACGTAGTGGTGCAGAGGTGACCTTCATTAAATTAGGGCACCCGCCTTTCCCTGGGGACACAAAGAAGCAGAGCCTCCTTCCCCAAGAACCCAAATCACGCACTATGTGCGTGAACCTGCGTCTCGGCGGCGGGCCGCTCGACGCGCCGAGGCCGCCCAGGCCTACTGTTCAGGTTGCACCGAAACTCCCAGCCCTCCGCGAGGTCTGGCCTCCCAACTTCAAAACCAGCGGGTGGGGAGCGAGAAAAATGTGAGGTGGGGGCGTCAACAGCCTCACAAGACCTACCATGGGCCCGGCGGGAAACAAGGCCTCAACATTCACCCCCAGCCACACTTACACTGCCCAACCAACCAGAGAGACTCGAGGGGAGAACAAAACAAGGAGAAAACCCGAGGCCTGGGAGAGCGTCCCTTGTTCCGGGACCCAATAGGAGGACAGAGCGGACCGGGAGGCGGGTGTGCAGCGCGTGTCGCGGATCCCCGGGCGCGCCCGTAAGGAGCACGCGGAGGACGCGCGCGGCCCCTCGCGGAGCCCACGTACCTGGTTGTAACCCCGCGCCGGGCCCGCGGCCGCAGCCAGGGACTGCGGCAACAGAGGGGCGCGTAGAGCCGGATAGGAGGCGGCAGCCGCTGCAGCGGCAGAAGCAGCCGCAGGGGGAAGCCCCGCCAGCCTCCCGGCGGGCGCAGACCCAGTGTGGAGGCCCCGCGTTTGGGAGGCGGCGGCCGCGGCGGCTCCAAGCAGCAGCAGCAGGCGACGGCGGCCTGAGACACCCGAGGGGAAGGAGCCGGCGGCGGAGTAAAAGGGCAGGCAGGCGGCACCTGTGCGCCGGCAGCTGCTGCAATTACAGCCGCAGCCACGGAGCAGCGCCCCGAGCACCCAGCGAGTCCCGGCCATGGACTCCGGAGGCGGCGTGGGGCCTTCAGGCGGCTGCGGCTGCAGCGCGAGCGGAAAGGAAATGGAATCCAGGGCCGGGAAGGGGGCGCTAGGCACATGCGCCGCCGGCTCCGGGGGCAGCGGCGAGTCGGGAGGAGGCGAAGGAGAGACGCAGCTCAGTCCGGGCTCCGCCCTCGGGGCGGGGCCGCAGCTCTGAGGCACAACCGCCATGCTATTCTTTCACTCTCTGGAAACAGACGCGTTTGTGAGGCGCGAGCTTTCTTACCTGCTTTGGGTCTAGAGCCCGGACTGCTTTTCCCCGCACAATACATCCCTATAATGCATGCTACAAGGGACGAAAGGACCGTTTCTGGAAGGAATTGTGAAACCCTGATTACAATAAAACTCAGGAGCGAGAAGAATGCTATTTAGAATATTAAATAGTATATCTAAGCCTGGGAGTAACAAGAAACTTAAGTAGAGGGGACCGTGGTGACTCAGTAAAAGCACTTGGCTGCTAACCCAAAGGTGGACAGTTCTAACCCACCAGTCACTCTCAAGAAGAAATATTGTCAGTCGGCTACTGGAAAGATATGCAACTTTGGAAGGCGTATGAGGCATTTCTTGAGCTCTGGTAGCATAGTGGTTATGAATCGGGCTGCGAACCTTAAGGCCAGCAGTTCGAAACTACCAGCCGCTCCGCGGGAGAAAGATGAGGCGTTCTGCTCCCGTAAAGATTTACAGCCTCGGAAACCCTGTACAGGGTCGCTATGGGTCGGATCCGACTCGACGGCAAACAACAACAACAACAAAGGTCACTATTAGAATCCACTTTTAGGCAGTGGGTTTGGTTTTTTTGGGAGTAAGCCTGAGAAATGTGCTGAAAGTCAACTTTCTTTGTTTAAAATGAATTTATGGATCCTTATTATAATTTACTCCTGGTGTGTCTTTGTAGGATCAGCACTGGACTTCGACCATAAGATCAGATCGGCAGTTCAAACTCACTAGCTGTTGCTTGGAAACGCAATACAGGGTTGCTAAGGGTTGCTATGGGTTGGAACGGACTCAATGGCTCTTAACTATATACTAAGGGCCTTTATAATTGTAGACATTTTTACATGTATTAGAGAATAGTGTACTTCCAATACTTAAATTATAAACATTTTTCCATCTTTTTTCATTTATCGCAACCACCTCCACCCCCAACCCCTACCACTTTTTTGGAAGCTGTCCCAAGGATCATGTTAATCATACTTGTAGTATCTTAAACTGATAATGATTTAAAGAAAATAAAACAAATCCCATGCTTTTCTGCTCAATTGTTTTTGAGGTATTTCAGATTATCCTGTTTAAAGTTTGACTTGTTCACCAGGTGCAAACACACAGCTAACTGAAAGGTTGGAAGTTGGAGACCATCCTAGGGCACCTCAGAAGAAAAGCCTGGCAGTCTGCTTCCAAAAAACTCATTTATTAAAACTCTATAAGGAGCTCTGGTAGCGTAGTGGTTACGAATCAGGCTGCTAGCCTTACAGTCAGCAGTTCGAAACCACCAGCTATTCTGTGGGAGAAAGAGGAGGCTTTCTGCTCCTGTAAAGATTTACAGCCTTGAACTCGGAAACCCTATGCAGGGTAGCTATGAGTTGGAACCGACTCCACAGCACAGAACAACAACAACAATGACTATGGAGCACAATTCTACTCTGACACACATGAGGTTGTGGTGAGTTGCAATCACCTGGACAGAAACTGGTACTTTATAGAAAGGAAAACTTAATATTTCTGAGAAAATTATTTTCCCACCCAAAAATCATAATATCTTTCTAGTTTGGCTGTATGTACTTGGACTATCAAAGAGAAGGGAGCTATATCATTTGGAACATTTAGGGATCCTAGGGATTTAAAACAAAAAACCCACCTCCCTCTTTAGAAGAAAAACGTGTTTAATTCTAAATAAAGATGTGCCCTTCATAACAGCTTATCACTGTAAAGCATAACTTGTCAGTATGTTGGGAGAGTCTATCAAAATTTACTTATGCCCTCATTTTCTGTAGCAGCAGCCATAATCGATAATGTCAATCTGAGTGGATCAGAAACCTAAATTCTTATAAAGCAAACCTTGTACTTTATAATCAGCTACCTAAGCCTTAAGATGGAAAATATTTAATATTTAGTGTAAAAGAAGTTGGAGGCAAAGAAACTAATTTTAAGCACATATTCATCCAACAAGCATTTATGAACTATGTGGTTGCTAGGCACTGTGCTATGAATGGTAGATCCAAAGATCTACTAGGCATACAAACAAATAAAACAAAGTGAAAGCCCTGATGGGTCTGTAGAATAAGCACTGGACTGCTAACCACAAGGTGGGCAGTTCAAACCCACCAGTCCCTCCACAGGAGGAAGATGAGGCTGAGGCTTTCTGTTCCAGTAAAGATTTACAGCTTCAGTCACCATGAGTTGGAACTGATTCTTCAGCAGCTGGTTTGAGATTTACAGAGAGGATAGCAAGTTTTGTAAGTTGAAACTAATGACTTAACCAGCAGATTTTAAAAAGTTGTAATGTTAATGAAAGTTCTTTTAAACCCAAATAACTATAGCCCTCTCTAGGGCTACTTACTTATTAAACTTTTCATTGTTAATATTAAAAAGACTCCCTTGTTTTTGACTAGGGTGATGGCAAAGAAGATGAAGAGAAAAGGGAAGATTTGATCGAATTTTTAGTTGTACAATCAACAGGACTTGAGAGTTGCTTAGAGGGAGGGAGGGGCAGGTGTTTTTCTATTTTTGTGTTATTTGGAGTTGAGAGGGATGAGTAAGAAGGTCTTTTCATCCCTGGAAAGATTTATAATTAAATATGAAGACATTGAAAGTGAATGAACCTAACTTTTGTGTTAAATTTGCTTTGTGTTATGTCAGAGAAGTCTGACCTAAACTGTTTATTTAGGATTTGTTAGTATAAATGAAGTCATGGTCTTAGAGGACATTGCCTAGGACTGAATTTAGAATGAGTCACGAGGAAGACCTAGAAACTAGTGTTGACGTACTCCAAAATTTACAGCCTGTAGAGGAAAATGGGAATCCATGTTTGGTAAAGCAGTTAACATGCTTGGCTGTTAAGTGAAAGGTTACCTGTTCCAGTCCACTTGGATGTGCCTTGAAAGAAAGACCTAGCAATCTATTTCTGAAAAATCAGCCATTGAAAACCCTCTGAAGTACAATTCTATTCTGACACATGTTGTTGTTGTTATTGTGTTGTTGTTGTTAAGGGCCATTGAGTCGGTTCTGACCCATAGCAACCCTGTATAGGATTTCCTGGGAGTGGCTGGTGAGCTTGAACTGCCGACCTTACGGTTCAAACCAACTTTGCAGTCTAGCACATTAACCTGAAGCTCCTCACCAGGACTCCAGAAACCAGAAACCAGTTGCTGTTGAGTTGATTCTCATTTGTAGTGGCCCAATTCTGACACACGTTGAGTCACTACAAATTAGAATCAACTCAACAGCAGCTGGTTTCTGGTTAAAGGAAAAATGAACCTGCAAGGAGAAAGAGGGAAAAGCAACAGATAAAAAGAAAATTAAGAGAAGCCAATAGTGTCTTCAGAAGAAAGGAGGGAGTACTCAACACTGTCAAGTGTTTACTGAGATCAATACTTACTCATCAAGTGAGATGAGAACAGAAGAAATGTCTGTTGGGTTTAGTGCTGTGGGAAGATTTTAGTAACCTTATCAACCTTTGTTTGGAATAGTGATAGCAGAGGCCAGAATAAGGCAGGGGTGAAGAAATGGGAATGGAAGTACAAAAATTGTTTGGTACATAAGGTGGTGAAAGAAGTACAGCTCCTCCTCATTTATGGTTGGTTGGTTGGTTATGTGACGTGGAGTTGGTTCCGACTCATAGCGATCCTGTACAGGGTTTCCAAGGCTGTAAATCTTTATGGGATTTAGCAGCCTCATCTTTCTCCCACGGAACAGCTGATAGTTTCTAACGGCTGACCTTGCTGTTTGCAGCCCGATTCATAACCACTACACTATGGACATAGTTAAATTCCAAAGACCAGGTCATAGTGCACAAATTGGGATATTGTGAAAATGGAGACTGGCCACATCAGATCACAAAATGAGAGATGACTGTATCATTACGTAACAGTGAAACCACTGAGAACCATGACCCAGACCAGTTGACACACATCCTTAACTGTCACATTAGGTGTAGGATAAACACTGGACTGCAACCACCAAGGTTGGCAGTTCAAACCCTATATACAGGATTGCCATGAATCTGAACCGACTCGAAGACACTTAAACATACCTGTGCATTAGTTACTGCCCGACGTATACTGTTAATGTGCAAAATAGTCAGATAGTAGATATTCACTATTGCCATAAATGCAAAATATTGGATAGCAAGATAATTAAGTGAGGAATAGGTATATAAGATCAGAGGTAGTTTTTGTTTTGCTTTGGTTTGATTAAATTGTCCCATCCCAGTCAATTCTGACTCATAGTGACTCTATAGGATTTCTGAGGAGCAGTTGGTAGGTTTGAACTGCCAACC